CATCGGGGAAACAAAACAGCCACTGGCCAAAAGGATGGCCCAGCACAAAAGATCAACATCATCAGGCCAGGACTCTGCGGTCTACACTCATCTCCAGGCCAGCGGTCACTCTTTCAGGGATGAAGATGTTCACATCCTGGATAGAGAGGAACGATGGTTTGAGAGAGGAGTAAAGGAGGCCATCTTTGTGAAAAGAAATCGTCCATCATTAAACAGGGGTGGAGGCCTCCGGGTTCAACTGTCCCCCTCTTACAATGCTGTGATTGCTAGTATCACTCAGCCCTCTGTGCGTAGTAAACAGCCATCAGTGTGCTAATGAGCCATTGTTAGGCTGATGGTCCTTCTTGAGCATGTAATCAGCTGGTTTTGGTTGTCAGCAGCAAACTGGTTGATCCACTCTGAGAAGGTGCTATTTAAGAGACTGAGCTGAAAACAGCACCTCAGACTGAGGAAGTCTCTTGGATGAGAGACAAAACGTTTCTAGATTTTTTTGCTTTGTTTTGTTTTTTGGTTTTTTGAATGTCCAGAGGACCAGATTGAACTTTTTTGGATTTATTTGGCACAGTTACTAATGGAAAGTCAGCCACTTTACTTAAAAACCAAACTTCTATAAATCAAATCCCTCCTACAAGTCAATCCTCAGTTAATCACACCTTCTCTTTTTCTCCATTGTCAGTCAGTGAGGTTAATAAACTGTTACAAGATCTTGAGCCTAATAAATATGCAGGTCCAGATGAACTTCCACCTTATTTCTTATGGTTGACTGCTCATATCATCACAGTCCTGGTGACCCACATCTTTAATCTTTCCATAAGCCAAAACTCCATTCCAGATGCTTGGAAAACAGCCTTTGTTCTTCCTTTGCTGAAGGGAGGAGACCCCACTTCACTGAACAACTATCAACCAATCTCTAAACTCTGCATTTTAGCCAAGGTACTAGAAAAACTGATAAACTCTCAAATCAAAAATTACCTGGACTCATTTAACATCTTACCTCTCCATCAATCTGGTTTCAGGAAACAACACAGCACAACCACTGCTTCACTAAAGGTTATTAATGATGATGTTGAAGCACTGGATGCTAAGGATTATTGTGCTGCACTTTTCTTAGACCTGTCTAAAGCTTTTGACACTGTGGATCATAACATCTTGTGTCATAAGCTCTCAGAAATTGGTTTATCAGAACACACCATTGGTTGGTTCTCTAACTATCTCTCAGACCGGAGGCAATGTGTTCAACATAATACTTCCTCCAGTTATTTAACAGTCAACAATGGTGTCTCACAAGGCTCACTCTTACGACCCACCCTCTTCACAATCTATATACATAATGTAGGTAAAAACATCCCTGATGCATCCATACATTTCTATGCTGATGACACAGTTGTTTATTGTCGAGCTAAAACTGTTGATAAGGCTTTCCAGCTTTTGAAATCTGCATTTAACATCATCCAGACAGATTTGTTCCACCTCAAACTTGTCCTAAAAGCTGATAAAACCAAAGGGATGCTTTTTTCAAATAGGAAGTTGGTCCCAGCAGTTCTTCCTCTGATTTCATCCACAAATGGTGTCCCCATTGAGTTTGTTGATTCCTATAAATATTTGGGTATCTTGGTCGATTCACATCTCTCTTTTAAGCTCCATGTGGAAAACTTGGTAAAGAAACTGAAAGTTAAACTGGGTTTCTTTTTCAGAAACGGATCCTGTCTAACCCTGAATGCTAGGAAACGCCTTGTATCTATGACCTTCCTTACCTCCATTGATTACGGTGACATTATTTACATGAACGCTCCTACAAGAACCCTGCGGATGTTGGATGATGTCTATCATGTTGCACTAAGATCTATAACTAGCTGTGATTATCGTACCCATCACTGCACTCTGTATTCACTGGTTGGTCATCATTAACTTCACACAGACTCTCTCACTGGTACATTTTCATCTTTAAATCACTTCTTGGTCTGCTGCCTTCATACATCACCTCCTACATGTCTCTGTGCGAGTGCAGCTACAGCGTGCGCTCTCAGGACATTATTACCTGCAGTGTTCCCTCAGTGTGGACTGAACTAGGCAAAAGGGCCTTCTCCTACTCTGCTCCTGTTTCCTGGAATATCTTACAAAAAGATTTGAAGCTCTCGACCATGACCTCTCTAAGTGGCTTTAAACATCTGTTGGACTCCTGGCATGGACCAATGCAGACATGTTCCTGTTTTTAGTTTTCTACATTCGCCTTAGAATCTAGCTGGTTTTTGTTACTTTTCTTTTTTTAGCCATTATATTCGTAAAAAAAAAAAAAAAATCTGTATGCTTTTTTATAACTGTCTATTGTTGTCACTTGTCCATTGTTGTCATCATTCTTTGTTGAAATCAGGTCTCTCTTGTAAATGAGTCCTCGAGGCTCAATGGGATTTACCTGTCTAAATAAAGGCTGAATGAATAAACTCCATCTCTTCACAGATGATCTTCGTCTAAAACTCAGGCATGGCAGGCAAATTGTGATATGTATTATTTTATTGAATGTTTGACATTTAATTAATTAATGTGTTTATTTAATGTCTATTTGATGAAACCCAAATTGGCACATGGAGATCAAGATTACTGCATAAATTGCAATGACAGATAAATCAGCTGATTACATTTCAGCAGTCTACAAATTATAAATATTCACTATAACAAATGAAAAGTAAGCATAGTTTAAAACCATTTTATATTCATCTCCTTTAGTACTTTCAAAGAAAATGTAGCAACTGAAGCAAATTTTTGACTCGCATAATAAAACTTATGGTATGGCGTTACATTGGCTTTTTGTACACTATTAAAATATTTATTTCTGTTTTAATCAGATTTATTATATATAGCCAACTCACAACAAGCGTCTTCACAGAGCACTCAACAAAAGCAAAATAAAGATAGCATCTTACTAGGCTGTGACTGATTGGCAAACAGCATTCACAAGTACGTTTCAACAATGTCTCACAACATTTGCAGCAAGCCTCTTTCCTTGTGCAAGTTGCACATTCTTGTTACCATTCAAAGTTTGTGCAACTATTATTTATCTCAAAATAGTTACAAAATTGTTGTGAGTGTCTCAAACCTGTTTCTGGAGCAGTTATTTCCAGCTGGTGTTTTGTCACCTAAAAGTGGGTCAATAAATAAATCAACATTCTGATTGTGTCAACCTTCTGGTTAATTCTTAAACCAGTAAAAAGATGACTGATCAAGACATCGTTATATTTTTTAATGTTTAATATGCAAGTATTCAACTAAAGTTCTTTTTTTTTTTTTTGGACAACTGCAAGATGCATTCATGCGTAATACTAGAAAAAACAAATCTAGTCATTTCCTTAATATAAGTTCAAATAACTTCAACAATGCCTTGAAATTTTGCATGACTACCAAATCCTATGAAATAATATTAATTTTAAACTACTTCCATTAATTATGCTGGTGTAGATCCAAAATGACTATTCAGGACACTTCCTCCCACAGACCAAAAACATGCATGTTAGTCTGATTGGTAACTCTTTGTCCCTAAGCATGAGTGAGAGAGTGAATGGTTGTTTGTCTCCTTTGTCTCTATGTGGCCCTGTGATGGACTGGAGACCTGTTCAGGGTGTCCCCCGCCCCTCAAACACTGACTGCTGGATATGGCCACCAGCGAACAGCAAAAGGAATAAGTAGGTGAAGATAACTTATGGATGGATGGAATCTTGCTAATACTACATTTAGCAGTTTGATTATTTATTTGATGTTTGTTACTAAAAGTAAATTTGAGTATCTTTAAAAAAAAAGGCTGAAGTTACACAAGTTTTGGTTTTAATTCATATGCAGCCAATTAGGCAAAGTAAACATTTCAGTTCAATTATATGTATATTATAAATTATTATTTCACTCTTTAGCATCACCACATCATTTCTGTTTATCATTAAATGTGTGTGTGTTGTTGTTTTTTTCTATGGATTTAGCAAATAAAATAAACTTTTTAAAACGTTCAGAAATAGTGTACCCCACAAAGCATCTGTATGTCTTTGATCCCCACGGTTGTAAAAACGTGTATGTGTGTGTGTGTGTGTGTGTTGGAGTGGTATAATATTCTATTTTACTATATCATGTTGAAACTGCACAGCTTTTTCATTCAATAAATTTGGAATTTGGAGTCTCAGCTTGTCATTACAGGATGGTCAGGTCCTGAAACTTGACCAGTTGAGAACCACTGTTCTGTAGCACCAGAGTTGGAAAAGCTACATGGGAGCCATTATTTTTAAAAATGAAACCACATGACTAGTTTGATTGCAAATGCTCATAATTTCTTGAGAGTGCAATGGAAAATTCCTCACAAATTTGTGTCTCTAATTGCTCTAACCTCCCAACAGTTGCAGCCTAGTGAGATACTACCTTAATCAGAAAAACTTTGAAATCATGCTGAACCTTTTGTTTTACGTAACAACCATTAAGGAGCAAGTACTGAGAATTAATAACAGACTATACTTTGTACCGAACCTATATATATATATATATATATCTATATATATATATATATATATATATATATATATA